GTGTGTGTGTGTGTGTGTGTGTGTGTGTGTGTGTGTGTGTGTGTGTGTGTGTGTGTGTGTGTGTGTGTGTGTGCGTGCGGGGGTGCGGGGGTGTGGGAGGCGTACTTGTTTGGTTATGATTCACAGAAATAACCCTGATACAATTAGTTTCTCTGGAATTACCCTGATTTATCTCTCAACATTACTGGAAATGTTTACCCTGTTATAAATTTTATATTACATTTTTGCTGGAATTACCCAGAAATAATTGACAGTTTAACCCGAAATGACCTTCATATATTTGACAGTTTCACTAAAATAATCGTGATGCGTTGAACGGTTTTACTGGAATGACCCTGTTTTATTTGACAGTTTCACTGGAACAACCCGGAAGAGCGGGCTGATCTCATTGATGCATCAGGGATGCAAATACACTACACACCGAACAGGTCAGTGCTCCAGACGATTAACCCCTTTAGACAGAATGGATGGGGGTAGTTGTTATTTGTGTAGTTTTGGGGGGAGTGCTGTTTGTTTGTTGTTGTTGCCGTTGTTGTTATTTGTTGTTTTTAAGGGACGAGGGGGATCAATAGCGTAGGCATTGACATTACAATAGACATTAGCAACCAAAATAACAAAGAATACTGGAGACCACGTGTGGCTTTATATCTGGGAGCAGTCATATGGGGTGAATAATCCAAACCTGAAGCACTCTTTCGATTAGCCCCTGTCTACAGCTACAATAACCGAGTTAAAAGTCATTAATTTGAACGACAAAAACATCACAATCGGCTACAAGATCTGACTTATGTGTTCCTGATCGTGTCGTAAATTTGACACGCTTATGAAATTTGTACCATAACAACAGACATCGAAAGAAGGATACAGGCAGTGGAGATGAGATGTTTCCGAAAACTGGATATCACGTATAGAGTCCACATAACCAATATGGCAATGAAACCCAGATTGGAAACGTCATCGGGTTGTATGAAGACCTTCTGACGCCAGTGAAAAGACACAGACTGAAGTGGTACGGCATGGCACGTCACACGACCATCTAGGCTGTCCAAGACTATTCTACGGGAACTGCACAAGGGTGAAGACAAGGAAGTAGACTGAAAAAACGATGGGAAGACAACATCAATGAGTGGAATAAACGTGACTGGTACATCTTACAACAGGAAGCTGAGTACTGCAAGGTGTGGAAGAAGCTGGTTGTACAATCTACAGGGGTGCCCCAAAGTTTAGTCAGATTACAGGACAGATAAAGGTTAAAGGGAACGTTGTTTTTTTTTTTGTTGAGTCTTAAGACCAAATAATGACGATTTTAGCCCTCAACCAAGGGATACACCCACCCTCCCAAAGAAGAAAATACGAATAGATGAATGAATAAATAATAAATAGATAAATAAAAATGAATGAATGAATGAATGAATGAGTAAATAAATAAGTACATAAATGAATAGATAAATAAAATTGCTTTTCTGTTATTGCTATTTCAATTATAATTCCAATCCTTCCAGACGCCCCAACGATGCGGGTATGCTGATCACCGGTTCCAACCTGTTCTACCTATACCCGGGACAGCATGAGGTCCAGGTCACTGGGAAATGCACCCCAACCTGCACAACCAACCTCCTAACTGGACCAATCAAGATCACGGCCGCATGGAACCACATGCACTACGCCGGTAGGTGTGGCTTATTGAGGCAGTGGTAACAGCAGTACTGTAGTTACTGTTGTTACAGTAATGATCATATAGCTATCACAGTAACAATAGTTGAAAGTGTAACAACTTCTCCTCTTCTCCCCCTCCTTCTCTTCCTCGTCCTCCTCTTCCTCCTACGTCTCATGTTCCTCCTCGTCGTCGTCGTCGTCGTCGTCCTCCTCCTCCTCCTCCTCCTCCTCCTCCTCCTCCTCGCACACTGGTTGCCCTTGTTTATAATTGAAATGACACCCTCAACATCCCTGTAATCAGATTCACTTTTGTCCTTCCGCATAAAACAGTGTTGTTGATACACCCTACTCCTTTTCTCTTCCTTTGTAGTTTCTGTCTATCTGCGCACCTTACCTTTCCCACGCACCAAATGACCGTTACTGTGTCTCTCTGTGTTTCTCTTTACTCAACCAATCAACTGTCACAAGTACCAAAGTAAGTATTGAGTTACGATATTTCCATAGCGTGAATGTTGTTATCTTTCTTTTTAAGTGTGTATATGTGTGTTAAAGTGTGTGTGTGTGTGTGTGTGTGTGTGTGTGTGTGTGTGTGTGTGTGTGTGAGTGTAAGTGTGTACGTGGTGAAACACAAAACCATTGATCCATGATCTGGACAATAAAGATGTATCTTATCTTATCTTATCTTGTCTTATCTAAGTCTCAGAAAATAATAAAATTGTTGAGAAATCTGAACGAATCCTGAAGTTATTTCAAGTTTTGTCGAATGACCAGAAGGTGAGTCCACTGTGATTTATTAATGTGTCAATGGGCTTCTATTTACTCAGTCAATCTACTCCGAAAGGTATCAAAATGAACATCGAGGTTCTGAGAAATGGCACGTCCTTGACCTATCTGACGAATGACCCTATCTACAGCTACGACAGTCCAGAAAGATATATGTGAGTAAGAGATACGGATTGAACGAGAACGAAAGAGAGAGAAAGAAAGAAAGAGAGAGAGAGAGAGAGAGAGACAGATAGAGAGAGTAAGAGAGAGAGAGAGAGAGAGAGAGAGAGAGGTAGAAAGAGACAGAAGAAGAGAGAAAGAGAGAGAACTAGTGAGAGTGAGAGATACTACCACTACTACTACTACTACTACTACTACTACTACTACTACTACTACTACTACTACTACTATTACTACTACTACTACTACTACTACTACTACTACTACTACTACTACTACTACTACTACTACTACTACTACTAGTAGTAGCAGTAGTAGTAGTAATAATAATGATAATAATAATAATAATAATAATAATAATAATATTAATACTAATGATGATAATGATAATAACTATTATAATCATAAT